TCTTCCACCTCAAGGTGAGAACCCCTCCCCCGATCCCTCTTTGTCAGCGCTCTTCTTAAAAGTTTTCTTGCCAACCCCCCCCCCCCTCCCCCCCTCTTTCCTCCCTCTTTTCCCATCTTTCCCCCATTCTCTTTCGCCCCCTCTCTTTCCCCCTTCTCAGTCACCCCTTCTCTTTTGCCTCTTTTTTTTTCCCCTTCTCTGACCGCTCTTCCAGTGCCTTTCTCTGGTTTCTCTACTTTCTTTCTTTGAGCGGACCAAAGAAACAAATCTCTCTTCCTTCCTCCGTTTCACTTCCCCCCACTCTGCCACCCTCCCAACTTCCTTCATTCCCCATTCGCTGCGCTCCCCTGCGTGGCTGCTCGTCACACGGCTGGGCTGGGAGGCAGAGTTCAGTGCTGGTGCGCACACCAGCGGACAGGATCAAGGCCATGAGAGCTCGCCCCCTCCGACTTGTTGACTCGCTCTCGCAGGTACCACCTCCCCTTCTCCTCTCGCAGGTACCACCTACCCTTCTCCTCTCGCAGGTACCACCTCCCCTTCTCCTCTCGCAGGTACCACCTCCCCTTCTCCTCTCGCAGGTACCACCTCCCCTTCTCCTCTCGCAGGTACCACCTCCCCTTCTCTCGCAGGTACCACCTCCCCTTCTCCTCTCGCAGGTACCACCTCCCCTTCTCCTCTCGCAGGTACCACCTCCCCTTCTCCTCTCGCAGGTACCACCTCCCCTTCTCCTCTCGCAGGTACCACCTCCCCTTCTCCTCTCGCAGGTACCACCTCCCCTTCTCCTCTCGCAGGTACCACCTCCCCTTCTCCTCTCGCAGGTACCACCTCCCCTTCTCCTCTCGCAGGTACCACCTCCCCTTCTCCTCTCGCAGGTACCACCTCCCCTTCTCCTCTCGCAGCTCTGCTCACGACTGCCCTTCCTCCTCTTTGAGACGTCTTAAAATGCGTCTACTGCATCGCCAACCTCTCACAATCGCAATCACACCCATGCATGTGAGAAGGCTTGCCACAATCACACCCATGCATGTGAGAAGGCTTGCCGCAGTTTGAATCCAGCCTTTTCTCAGCATCTCATTATCTCACCATCACACTCATGCCTCTCTGTGTGCCATGCCTCTCTGTGTGCCATGCCTCTCTGTGTGCCATGCCATCTGCCTTTCTGCCCTTCCACACCCTTCCCTGCCCTTCCCCTCCCTCGCACCAGTTCGGGCTCTATTTCCTCATGCCCTTTCTCTACTGCATTGCCAGCCCTCTCAGCATCACACCAATGCGTCTCTCTCTGTATCATTCAAATCACCTTACTGCCTTCCTCACTCTTCCATGCCCTGTGCCCGCGCCTCCCCCTGTCGTCACCAGGTGGAGCTCTACTTCCTGCTGCCCTTTGTCTACTGTGTCACCAACCCGCTCTACCTGCCCTTCGCCCTCGCCTTCTACATCCTCGCCTTCGTCATCTACCGCAACCAGGTCGGCCACTTTTGTCATCTACCGCAACCAGGTCGGCCATACTTGTCATTTTACCGCAACCAGGTCCCGTTATTGTCCTCGTTTACGAATATCAGGTCGGCTCCTCTTATCATCTAGGGCGAGAGGGTCAATCTGTGCTGCCATGTACCTGGGGGGCATGAGAGGTCTCAAGAGCCCACTCTCTCGCTGTCAACAGCCACATTTGCTGCATCCGCTCTGCCCCTCACCAGGGGGCTTGGCTCGCTGCACGGCACGTCCCCTCTGTCCTACCCACCCTTTAGGCGTTCCATTGGTCTTGCCATCCAGTGAGGCAGCATGTATGCTGCGCACCATGACATGTCAAGAACCTTCCCATGCCTTCGCCTCCCCCCCCTCCCGCGCCTCCCTCTCTCCTCCTCCCAGATAATTAGCGTGTACTGTGCTGTGCGCGGTACGAGATTGCGGGGTCGTTCTTTTTGGATTCTCCGGAAACACCTTCGTTCCCCTCTCCCTCCCATCCCTTCCTCCTCCCCACCCCCACCCCCACGCCTTGATGCGCGGTACGAGACGAGACGAGATGGCGGAAGGATTTCCAGAATCACCTTCCCGCTCCCCCCTCCCTCTCCCCCTCACTTCCCCCCGGCAGATAATCAACGTGTACTGTGCGCGGTATGAGATGGGGGGAGGGGGGACGGGGGGGTTCTTTTAGAATCTCAGAAAAACACTCGTCCCCTTCCCCTCCCAACACACCCAACCCCAACACCCTTTCCCCCCTCCCGGGCAGATAATCAACATGTACTGTGCGCGGTATGAGATGGCAAGAGCCTAACCCTGTCCGCCCTCCTTTCCCCTCCCCTCTACCTTTCCCCCCCAGCAGATAATCAACGTGTACTGCCCGCGGTACGAGATGGCGGGGGCGTTCTGGCCGCACTTCCACGCGCGCCTGGTGGCGGCCATGCTGGTGCAGCAGGTGGCGCTGGGCGGCATCCTCTCGCTCAAGGAAGCGCCCACGCAGGCGTGCTGCCTCATCCCGCTGCCGTTCGTCACGCTCATCGTGCACTGGGCGTTCATCCGCGGCCAGTTCCACAGCACCTTCTCCAAGCTCGCTCTCGAGGTGCGCCCCCCTGTGTGTCAGTGGAGGTGCGCCCCCCTGTGTGTCAGTGGAGGTGCGCCCCCCTGTGTGTCAGTGGAGGTGCGCCCCCCTGTGTGTCAGTGGAGGTGCGCCCCCCTGTGTGTCAGTGGAGGTGCCCCCCCCTGTGTGTCAGTGGAGGTGCCCCCCCCTGTGTGTCAGTGGAGGTGCGCCCCCCTGTGTGTCAGTGGAGGTGCCCCCCCCTGTGTGTCAGTGGAGGTGCGCCCCCCTGTGTGTCAGTGGAGGTGCCCCCCCCTGTGTGTCAGTGGAGGTGCGCCCCCCTGTGTGTCAGTGGAGGTGCGCCCCCCTGTGTGTCAGTGGAGGTGCGCCCCCCTGTGTGTCAGTGGAGGTGCGCCCCCCTGTGTGTCAGTGGAGGTGCGCCCCCCTGTGTGTCAGTGGAGGTGCGCCCCCCTGTGTGTCAGTGGAGGTGCGCCCCCCTGTGTGTCAGTGGAGGTGCGCCCCCCTGTGTGTCAGTGGAGGTAGCCCCACGCCGCGAGCGCTACAGTAAAGGTACAAGTCAACTTTTGAGGCGCCTCAAGGTTCATCCGCGGGAAGTTCTCAAGCACCTTCTCCACGCTCGCCCTCCAGGTGTCATCTCTGTGTGTCAGTGGAGGTAGTCAATGGCTCTGGGAGCAGGCAAGTGAACAGAGCAGGTGACTGTCTCAGAGCAGAGCACATCCCTATGCTCCCCTCACTGCTCGAACAAACCTCTTTCTTTCGGACCCTCCATCCATCGCTATCCTTGCTGCCACTCACACCCATTGCACAACACCTAACAAGTCACATCATGGTCACACCGAGCAAGTCACATCATGGTCACACCTAACAAGTCACATCATGGTCACACCGAACAAGTCACATCATGGTCACACCGAACACGTCACATCAGGGTCACACCGTACACGCCTGCCCCGCTGCCCTTTCGTGTGCTTACTCCCACTCGCTGCTACACCCTCGTTTCCGCCATCCACTCCTTGCCTCCTTGCGTGCCCCACTGCTCTTTGTGTGCCTACTCCCCCCATCCCACAGGAAGCAAACCGCAAGGACACGATAGACCGCACGGTGCACCCCAACGAGGGCCCGCACTCCTTCCTCGCACGCGCGTACCTGCACCCCTCTCTGCAGTCCGCCTTCACCATGCTGGATGGTGACGAGGAGCAGGGTGGTGCAGGTGGTGGCGACTCCTCCTCCTCCGATGATGATGATAAGGATGGTGATGAGGAAGAGGGCGGCGGGAAGAAGTCAAAGCACGCCGACCGGCACGCACAAACCCGTCTTGTGCCGGTGAAAAGGCATCCGTTTTCCAGCACTGCGCAGGCCTCTCCTGCTGTGCCAAACGGTTCGAATGGGTTGGAAGGGGTGGCGGGCACAAGCCCTCCTGCGCACCTCCGTAGGAGCGTGTCCGATGGGCCAGGGAGTTCAGCTGCAGCTGCCGTGGCAACAGTGACTGCAGTGACCTCCGCTGCTGCAGCTGCAGCTTCTTCTGCCTTTGCCGCCGCGCGCAATGCTGCCAGCGGTGGCGCTGCCTTCACTGCTGCCAGCACAGGCCGTGTGGCTGCTGATGCTGCCGATTCCAGCACCCACACACCCCATGGCATTCCACCCGCCAGCCACGACCAGTCCAGTGAAGCATCGCCGTACCACTCGTGTGAGCTCCATTCAGTCGTGATTGACGGCCCTGAGGACCTTTCCCAGAACGTTCCTCTCTCCGCCTCCTCAGCGGCACGTCCCGACTACCCTGTGGGGGACACGGGGGTGCAGAGGGGAGCAGCAGCCAGTGAGGGAATGACAGGTGGTAACCGGGGGGAGAGGAAGCCGTCGCCGCAAACAGCAGGGACGGAGCCGCTCTTGGCAGGCGGGGGCGGGGACCAGGGTGGGAAGAGCAGTGGGATGGGAAAGGCGATTGGTGTGCCCGTGTTTAGATTATGACCGCAGTAAGCAGCCTGCTGTGCGTTGTCAGCATAATAAGCATCAGAAGCAGCAAGTGGAGCAGCTTCGCTTGTGGCATGTAGGGCCTATCTTCATCTGTTGTAGCACGGCTGTCTCCACTGGGTTCGGTTCGCCCCGTTTTCCTTGTTGCATGCTTCGCTGGCAAGGCGTGCTGCATCTCATCCCAGATTACCCCCACCTCTTTAATTTCACTTCAATTCCCTTTGTACTTTTGGGGAGTCTTCTTACTACTTACACCATTAGAGGTTTGTTGTACCGTTGTAATTTCTTCTATGGTAATAAACTATGCAATCAAATTCTCAATAATTATACATGTTGGATCCTACGTTATGTTGATTCCTATGTTCTAACAGTTGACCTACACGAAAGAGGTACATACAATTGTATCTAAATCTGTTCAGCAAACTTCACCAGCCACCTTCTACCATATGTGGTTCGCTTGAATGTGATCAAGTAGCCTCCTCACGCGACACCCTCCACAGCTGCTGCTTTCTTCGATCTAACGATTCCAAGCCACGCCCTTGACTGTTCCTCGGAGCTCAGCACAATCGGGGCTTGCGCTCCGCCGAGAGATGGTCGCAACCGCAAGCTGCGCCTTGAGCGCCATTCCGCCTCGACGGCAGGTTCCGCGCTCTACGCAGCCTGCGCGCGCCCGTTTTTCAGCGGGACGACTCCTGCGAAGGAGCCTCGCGAGGGAAGACATCGCACTTTACCTCCCTCCCACTGCGCCGACATTCGATACAATCACACCCGTCTTCGCGGACGGATTGCTCCCATCCTCCGCGTGCGCGCAACCCTTCACCTTCCGCACGATACGTCCGCCGAAGGCGTGCAGCAGCAGCCAGGGGTGCGAGAGCACCTTGCTGGCGGACGGTCGTCGCCGCGGGTCCCTCTCCAGCATGCACCGAATCAGCCCGCGCGCCTCCGCCGACACGCGCGCGCCCGCCCATGCCGCCGAATTCTCCCCCAAATCCACCCGCCCATTCACCACGCTGTCGAGAATCCCCTGATCGTCGGGGCCCCAGAAAGGCGGCGAGCCGGTGAGAAGAATGTGAAGCACGACGCCGAGCGACCAGACGTCGGCGGGGAGGCCGTATTGGCCGGAAATCACCTCGGGCGCCATGTAGTACGGCGACCCCGCGGGGCCCGTCGTCGAATCGCCTCGCTCCAAGGGGACAGCAAGACCGAAGTCCGCGAGTTTCACGGAATGGTACGAGCGGTGCTGGTGTCTGTCGATCGGGAGTTGCGATTGCGCCGGGGTTTCCGCCGGGTTTGACGGCGTTCTTTCGGAGGGTAGGAGCGGAGAGGAGGAGAGGAGGATGTTTTCGGGTTTGATGTCGCGATGCATCACGCCGCGGGAATGGCAGAATGCGACGGCCGATGTCACCTGCATGAACACCTGCGCCGCGTCGCGCTCGCTGAATCGCCCACGTCGCGCGATTTCGTCGAAGAGATCGCCGCCGTCGCAAAGCTCTGTAACCAGATACACGTCGCTGTCGTCTTCGAACACCGCGTGCAGCCGCATGACGCCTGGATGCCCCATCGCTTTCTGCAGCAGACGAACCTCGCGACGCACGTCCTCTTTATCGTCCGCTTCGATTAGCGTCGCCTTGGAAATGGACTTGCACGCGTATGGCATCCCCGTTGATCGGCACGTGCATCTTCGCACGGTTCCGAATTTCCCCGTCCCCAGAATTTCGTCGTCGATTTCATAAAACTCGTTCATATGATGACTCGCCCCTGGGAATACGTAAGGGGATGACTTGGCAGGCGCGGAGCGCGTTGCGCCGCAACCTCTTTTCAGTGGGCTACAGGTGTCGACCTCGCCGTCGAAACCGTTTGAATAGGCTTTTCGTTTTCTCGAGTGGCAGCAGCACGTGTGGTACCGGCGATGGTCTTGGCATGGCGCAGACGCCACCTGGTGGTAGTCAGCAGAAGTCGAACCCATGACGGTCAGTGACTGGAAGAAATGGTGGCTATAGACGGTGAAACTAACGACTGGAACGCTTGCTTTCCAAATAATTTAGCTGCTAATTGAGGGGAATGATGGCGGAGGAGAACCGAAGGATCACACATCGATTGATGACAGGAGCAACAGAAATACTTGGATGGCTTGGATGGTCAATTGGTTCTGGATTGGGCCAGCCAGGTTGAAGGAGGAACGCGATGGAACGCGTAAAGGTGACGAGGGGGTGGGAGGGGGAACGCGAAACTCGAAGTGTACAATTGACCCGGCACCACAACCGTTCGATCAAGGCATGCCGAGGCGATGCCAATGAGCAATCCAGCGGAATAATCGCGGAGATTGAGGGAGGCTGAGTGTGGGGTTGCGTGAATAGGAAGGCGGGTGTCACGGTTGCGAAAGGTTTTCTTTGGGGCTGGTTTTTTGGAAATTGACGAAACAGGCGAATGCCACCGGTTGTCGCGGGGGGTGACGAAACAATAATATGTGGCGAAAAGCCGAGGGCGACAACAATCAATATCGCGAACCGACTCTATGTTTTGGGAAGCTGGGGTTGGTGGAACCCCGACTCGGTTTTTGCTCCAAACCGAAATCTAGTCGCAATTGTATGTGTAGCCTCCTTATCGGACGGTGACGCATATGTGACGGTAACTGATTGAACATTCGCTCCAAATCCCATTTCAGAAAGCCAAAATGTGAGCGCCTGACACGGACTGGCTTTGAAAAGGCGGCCTTATGACAGATTCCGGAAGTGGTGGAAACAATAATTGTGGAATCGTGTCCTTGAAGTCAACCCAGCTTGTAGAAAGAAATCCTCTAAAGAGATCAGAACACTTGGAGTTTAGGGTTTAGGTCATAAACTGATAATGCACTTGTGACTAAACTTTTGTGACATTAATTATCGGACAGATACTAGTGTTAAGCCACCCTGAATATCATAGTTTTCAGTCTACGTTCTCCTCATACCGTAGCAGTTTTTGTTGTGTTAAAACCCAGGAGCCAAGAGTTTCAAAGTTATGAAGTTTGGTTGGGATGGGATATGAAACACAATTGGCAGGCGAGGAAGTTGTTGGAAACATATCATTTGCGCTTCTTGCATGTCGAGCACTATAACAAGAACGAAGCCGATCGACAGCGAAGCAACACCGAGTCAACCGAGCTACAGCGAAGCGGTTGACAAAAGCGACAACATCGAGAAGTTAAAGCGAATGTCAAAGGTCAGCGACCTTTGACTCGACAAAACAGCACGACAGCAAGGACAAATAACTGACTTGTTATTGAGCAGTTACCCGAGTCGTGACTGTATCAAACCGCACTAGCAGTTGCAATTACAGTTAAACACAAAGCGGTTTTATCTCTGAAATTCATGTAACCTTATATAAACCTTGTATCTTTGCACTATAATCAACTCATCATGTTCTCACATACCAGTGCAAGGTGGTTCAATCAATCTTACTAGAACGCTTCCGCTAATACATCATTATGAGCCTTAGTCATTGAAAAAAATCTGAAGGGCTTTTCTCAGCCAAAACATGGTTTGAGAGCTAGCAATACAAGGCTCAACTATTTTTTCACTTTCTACAACTCAGATAACAGAAGACATGGCAACACAGAAGGAAAGGAGATCATCTACTGGATCTCCCGGTACTACTCCTACTCCACCTCCGGTCTCTGGACTATAGACAAAAGGGGGCACTGCCCAGGGACCAGCTGCAGAATCCACTGAAGCGCCCGTAAACCCAGGAACTGGCTTCGACCCAAGCATGATGGAGAAATTCTTCTCCTTCATGTCGTTCTACGAGCAACAACAAGCGGCACCTGTGCAATCAAACAACAGTGACAACAATAACGGTGTTACTTCCTTTGCGCGCGGAAATCAGCAACCCACCTTCGCGCCATATGAGCCCCAACGCGGCGTATGCTGAATCACCTCCAATCTGGACAAGAGACGAAGCCAATGGACGCGCTTCAGCTGCAATCACAACACCATTCAACAGGAAAGACTTCTATACCTAGTCCTTCGAATTCGAGCTGATGATGGAAGGCGCGCAAATCCTCGGCTTCTTCGACAGCTCCCTACCATACCCAACGCACGGGACACAGTACGACAAGTAGCAATACACATATCAGTCACTGATGGCGTACACCATCCTTCTGCGAAACATCACGGCGAGCGAGCAGCAGAACATTCGATCTTATCGCGTATACGGCAACTCCGCTGAGCTCGCCTACAACCATATGAAGAACCTGTATCAAGCAAAAGACAGCGTAAATCCGAGCCGTCTCATGGCGCAATTGACAACAGTCCAGATTCAACCCGACGAAAAGGCAATGGCATATATTAGTCGCTGTCGCGGTCTACGAGACAGACTCCTTCGTTGCGGCGGAGCACTACCCGAAGACGCCTTCGTCACCGTCGTCCTTGCAGGCCTCGGACTCCAATGGCGCTCCACCCGGGCCATTCTCCGACGCCACGGGAGAATCTCTGAAGCAAGCCTCTGCGAAGAACTTCATGCCGAGCAACAAGATATGGATCTGCATGTTGAATAGTGAGGCAAGAATGAATGCATTGAAAGGAATCTGGGTACAAGTACTAACCCTAGAACTTAGGCACAAGACCTAGAGCAGTGCAGTGACGCTGATGATCACTAGGCGTAATTGCCTTGGTAAATATATCAACTGTGTTGGCCCGCGTGTCCACGTAAGCAAGACGAAGCTGGCCACGCTGCTGCAGCTCTCGAGCAAGAAAGTAACGCAGAGCGATGTGCTTCGTCCTGTGCTCCAGTCTGTGCTCCTGACACAAGGCGAGGGCTGCCTTGTTGTCGCCGTACAGAACTGGAGGAGAACGAGGCCGCTCTCCCAAGTCAGTCAGCAGGTAGGTGAGCCAGCGTAACTCCTATGCAGCCATGGCTGTGGCGTAGATCTCAGCCTCACAACTGGAGCTGAGAACAGAAGAAGAGCGGGTAGACCGCCAAGAGATAGATTCGGAGCCAAGGCTGAAGGTGTAACCCTGTGACGACCACTGCGTAGCCAGGTCGTCAACCCAAGAGGCGTCTGAGTGTCCAGTGAGGACAACGTCACCCCGTCCTCCAAGCACCAGCCCCATGCCTGATGTACTGCACAAGTAGTGTAGCACACTCTTAGCAGCCTCCCAATGCTCTCGCCGGTGTCTCCCAGGCGCAACGTAGCGAGCTAGGATGCTAAGAGGGTACGCAAGGTTAGGTCGAGTGCAGGTCATCAGATACATGAGGCAGCCCACAAGCTCTGGGTACGGGCCACTCGGCTCTACGGACTCGTCCGGAGGTGGAGCTGAGAGCGAGTGACGTGTAGACAGAGGAGTGGACTGTGGTGAGGAGAACTGGAAGCCGAAGCGCTGAAGGACCTGCTGCACCATGTGTGACCGAGTCAGGGTGATGGTGCGACTTGCTCTGTCCCGGGTGATATGCAAGCCAAGATACGCATCTTACCCTGATTAGCGAAGGTGTGTCTCTTCTGCAGCTCCGACTTCACACGAGCAAGTGCCTCAGTGTCAGCAGTGGCGAAGACCAAGTCGTTGACGTACACGAGGATGTAGAACGGCGGCAGGGAAGTGTCGGTGCGTAGGAACAGCGACGGGTCAGCAGTGGAGGGAGCAAACCCAAGAGCCGCAAGTGTCGTCCTCAGTGTGTCGTGCCACTCACGAGGCGCCTGGCGGAGACCGTAGACTGGCCCTGGGAGGCTCCATTGGGTACCAGGAGGGAACGACCCAGTGAAGCCAGGTGGGCGGCGCATCCAGATCTCCTCGTGCAGGCTGCCCTGCAAGAACGCTGTGCTGAAGTAAAGAGAGTGAAGCTCGTAGTCACGCTGAGCGGCAACGTGCAGTAGTACCCGAAGAGTAGTCGTCTTCGGGGTAGGGGAGAAGGTCTGGAAGAAGTCAACTCCCTGTCGCTGACTGAAGCCTCGTGCAACGTAACGAGCCTTGAAGACAGGCGGAGAACCCGGCGGCCGCTTCACCCTGAAAATCCACATGCCGTAGACAATGTTCGCTCCAGGAGGGGGAACCTCATCGACGTAGGTGCCTGTGGACTTCCAGGATGCCATCTCTGCGTCCATGGCTGTCTGCCACTAAGAGGAGTAGGGACCCGTGATCGCCTCTGCGTAAGAGCGCGGGGTCGGGATGTCCAGTGCATCCGGGTCTCCCTCAGGCGCAAGCAGCCAGGCCACGAGATGAGGTACAGCAGCCGCAAGACACTCAAAGTCCTCCTGCCTGTCCTCAAGGACGTCCGTGCCAAGAGCACACTCACCCCTGACGGACGGAGGACAGACAGGCTCAGACTCAGCAACAAGACTAGCGGCGTAGTCGAGACGACACGCAGCAGCAAAGTCCACAAGCTCAGCAACTAAGGCAGACGCAGCAGTAGACTCAAACGACGGGTCAGTGACGACTGTGGCCAGGAGACGCGTGACAGTGGGACTGGCAGCACGGACCAAGTTAGACTCAGTGTCAGGAACCTCAGGAAGAGAGGACGCATGAGGAGACGGCAGCGGGACGCGCTGTGGAGCAGAGGAAGGACGAAGTGCCATAGTGTGAGTACCTGGCACAGGAGGAGGACGCGGACGCGGGACACGACGAGCAGTGCGAACAGTGCGGACAGGGGAGACAGGACGAAACGCAGGCTCACGACGCTCTGTAAGGG